GTAGTGTTAAACATTTGGTTAACAGATGAGCTGGATACATAAACGAACATCGTTCAGACAAAGTCTTACTCTTTGATGTTACTGAGAAAACGAGGGAGACTGTTGGTATGTTTTTGTTTTGTTTTTATTCCATGTTCAGTTCTACTGTTTTTCTTAAAGAAATTTTTATTTTAATACATATGGCTTATTTGCCTCCTCTTTAACTTTGAGATGATTCCGAGACAAAATATTGAAAGTTTCTTATTATTATCATGTTAAAATATTGTATTGAAATTAGTTGTTTTGGTCTATACTCCTGTTTCTTGTTCACCATTTATATAACTCTTGAACAATCTGCTTGTAAGTAGTATGGCGCGAATCTTGAGCTTATATTCCATTTTCTCGACATATTACACATATATAGCACTTTATTTATCCAATCACAGTTTGTCTTGATCTTTTGTCCACTTTATTGGCTTTTGTTCAGTAAATGTAATTGTTATGGCTCATGTAACAGAAGGTGAGTCTCACTTAATCTTTCAGTGAAGCTATTGCTTTCTTTTCCTCTCTTGATTTTGCTTCAATTACTCTTTGAGTTGTTGTCTTTATAGCTCAATAGTTTGATTTAAGATACTTTAATTGTGCTGCTCTTGCCATATTTACGCACATTCATTAACTCTTTTGTTTATTTTATTAATTTTCGTGAAGTTGCTTTTTGTGGTTACTTAAGGGTGTGTTTAATATATTCATTTTTCAGATTCTTTCTTTTTTATATATACGTTATTCTATCATAAGATATAATCATATTGCTCAACTTTAAGGATAAATATTCATCTATTTGTAACTGAATTGTCTTGCACAAAGAAATAGCTTCCTAATATCACCTCATTTTGGTGTACTGTTATTGAGGTAAGAGGCCAGTTATACAGGATTTACCTGCCTAGTTTAAATTCAAATTTTCTACCCAATTACTTATTACATACTCAAAGTTTTCTCTTATATTATAAACGTCATTCCACTATTTTTGAAAATAACATTAAAATTTCAAAATATTGTCTTTGAAAGTATAATTTTTGCTCAGGCTTTTTCATAAACGTCATATATGCAATTGTACTGAAAGGATGAAACAACAAATTTCGCTTTTAAAGGTGATAATATAAAAAACACACAGTTATTCACTAAATTAAAATTGAAAAACATTATAAGAGCGAGACAAGTATAACTTAGCTAACAGTTATTACAAACTTTTCTTTTTCATTACTAAGTGGTAGTAGTTAACCTAAGTAGTAATGAATTTTTATGCCCAGAAAGAAGTTAAACTCATTAATTCCAGCAGTAAACTTGGTCTGCAGCCATGTAACAGTGTTCAAAGGAACAACAAGAGAGGATTGGAACTACTTCTTTAAACTTTCCTGAAATATTACGTAACGTTTTGTTTAATATAGTCACGAGTTGCCTTGACTTTTGCCCCTTTATGTTTATCAAATAAACTTGAGTAACTCTTGTGATTTATATATTTCCAGAGGGTCTATTCCTTGGTCTTTGAGGTTAGCTACTGTTTTCTATTTCCCCTTTCTCATTGGTTTCGCTTTAACTACTCTTTGATATTTTATTTTGTCTTACCTACTGCTGAGTGACGAGCCAAGTGATGCAATACCTGGTGCTGCATCTAAATGTTTCTATACTCACTGCCTTGGAGCATTTGGTGAACGAGGACCAACCTCCGTGATTGAGAAACAGTTGTCAGAAAAATTGAGCCACAGATTCGACACTATCTCCGATACACTGTGATAATATTCTTATCGGTAAGTTCATTGAGGGACTTTCAAGCGAGTCCATCCAGCACCACATGGCTCTAAGAGACATTTTTTTTATCTTACAGAGGAGGTTTCTTTGGCGGCATAGTTTGAAGTGGTCACATTGTACCATGCACTGTAATAGAAGACGAAATCATCATCAATAGCACCTACAGCTGTTGACTTGGCTCCAAGAGAACTTCCTGTGTCGTTGAAAGCCACAAGGCTCAAAGAAATGTCAACCACCATTTCTACCAGATAATATGTAGCAAATGCTGCAAGGCATCATATCACAGCTGCCATGATTCCCTGTGAAACAATAAGGCTTCTCTGTTCAAACCTGTCATGGTCACTCCATAAATGCAGCCAAGGTTGGACTCCTAAAGATATCCGAAGTGTAGGTGAAGGATTCCCTGCTTTAATCGTGGCTAAATTAGTACCTGATTTTGTGACTGTCTATAACTTGTTGACACACCGGATTCTAAGACACGTGTACCTTTTAGACTAATGCTACAACAGATTCAGGAAGGTCGAGAATGAGTTGTGGCTATTGCAACACCTACTGGTTTGAACTAGTTGAGCCTAAGTTGGATCTGACCATCAAGTTAGGCGGGTGAAGTTGTCATCTTACAGCTAAGTTATGATAGCTGGTCCAGAGAATAATGAAATTGGTGTCAAATGGTATGGTAATGATACTCAGACACTGGGTGGTTAACTGGATATTGGCATAACCAGTACCTTAGTTGACCTTGCCATTTATCAGATGCTCTATGTAGATCCATCATTTTGGCCAGTTAGCCAAACTTCTTTATGGCGAATGGCCATAAGCTAGACGTGAGTCGAGAAGAACATCCTTTATTTTGTCTTAGTAATGTGATGTTTTGAGCGAAGTCAGCTGTCTCTGATCTGGGTTCAGACATTGGCATCTTAGAGATGGGCGTACTACAGAAATTATCAGCTAAGTTTGCTTGTGCGAGAGGCGAATTGCAATTTTGCAACAAAACCATCCAGTGTTAGACATATTGGGCCAGTTAACAGTACAGTGCTAATTTGCAAATGGTATTCTGTGGTTTACTATATATTCACTACTGTACTGTTATCGTCACCCTCTGTTATAGTGATAGGATAAATGTATGAAACCCATTGTTTTCTTTCTGGAAGGAAGGCTGCACTTTCTCAAACAAATTTTTCCTAACATGGGTAATATACCAGTGCTATTCTGTAGCTACGGACATTAAGCTATTCAGCTTCGAGCTGGAATGGTCGTCCGTACAATAAAAGAGACAGGAGGGATAAAAGCTAATGAAATAGTTCGTTTCGTAACCACCGTATCACGTCTGAGAATGAGCAGAGCATTTGAAATCTCCAAATAAAGTTTGCTCATACAATCCAAAATATACACAGAAACATGAACCCAGTAAATTGCTCAGGGAGTTTGTTGACGTGTTCTTGGGATCAGATGGCCAAGAGGGTGGATAAAAATTATATGTCATCATATAGACACAGTTGACACACGTCCAATAAAACAACTACCACTCAAGTTTGCTTGGAGTACCAGGAATATGGCCAATGCTGAAATTGAGTGGAGTTTGAAGAATGAAATAATATAACATTCAAATAGTGCTTGGTTGTCTTCAGTGGTGATTGTCAAAAAGAGATAAGGAATGCCAAGGTTCTGTGTAGATCTTACATAGGGAACTGTAAAACACACGTCAATGTCTCTCCTATAACATGCATGGTGAATGTCTAGATGTGTTGTAAGGTGTCCGTTGGCAGAGCACAATAGACCGTGCTTCTAGATATTGGGAAGTCAAACTGGATGGCGAACGTCGGTCTATGGCATTCAGTCTGTATGCCCTCACAACTTTGAATGGTTTATGAAACTTACATTGCAAAGACTGAAAGGGAAGATATGTATTAGTTATGTGAGTGATATACTGGTCTTTGTTAACACCTTTCAAGCTGCAACTGAAAACCTGTGAATGGTATTCTAGCACACCGAGGGTGCAGGATTGAAACTCAAACCAGGAAACTATGCAATTGTGCATATAGAAATGCAGTTCTTTGGTCATATTGTTTGTAGAGATGAAGTATTAATTGATTGCATGAAACTGAAGAAGTATAGAATGACCCGTATCTTCTATCAAGCGAGAATTCTACAGCTTTTTGAGTTTTGTATCGCCAAGACAGCCATACCAATGTCTCTGTTGACAAAAGTTGATGTGCATTTTCCAAGGTCAGAGATATGTGAAAATGTGTTCCAGTTTTTGAAGTGTTGACTTATCTTCATTGCAATTACTTATTCATCATAGATATAGCCACCACTGACATTGTAATTGGCACAGTTTTATCACAAGTACAGGGTGATATGGAACACCTTACAATCACTCAGATTAAGTTCTGTAGTGAATGTTGGCAGACGTTTGCGTGTAGAAACTTCCTGAGTGAACTTGCAGTCGTAAACGTAATGCTTCTTTGCTCTGTACTGTATAGCAAGCAGACACAAATAAACTACTTGCAGTTATAATATATGCAACATTACTGCCACTGTTTTTGTGACAGGAAATTCACCATTTGAGTGGTCTATGCATCACTGAAATGGCTAAAGAACTTTGAAAACCTGGAAGGTATGATTGCATATTGGATAATAATGCTTCTTAAGGACAAGTTCATTGCACACTAGGTTAGCAGCACGGAAATGGAAATAGATTATTTTTCATTGTGTCGTATGATTTGAACTCAGTTGATGAAGAGGATGACATTGATAGTACTTATGTGGTTGTTCATTGTGACTCAGATGAGGAAATGACAGTAGAAGAGCATTCACTTTATCCTTATGAACAGTAGAGATATTGTTATTAACCTCCTAATAACTAAGGCTGAGATTAAGCACTTCCCACATATTGACAACAACATCTTTTATTTATCTAAAATGATCATACAAGCTGCAAAATCAGATATTTAGTTTATATAATTTATAAATAATGATGGACACATTTATACACTATGTGTATTTAAAAATATATATATATTGTGATAAAAGGTTAAATGTCAAAATTTGAAAAGTACTTTAACCATTATGTATGTTTTAACTATAATCAAATATATTTTAAGACGAAAATAATATGTAGTAAGTATGATCTTCACCTTCCAGATAGCGTTTTATCAACACATATATATAGTTTACTATCTGCAACATATAAAATATACTTCAAAGGTCAATTTGTTTTAGATATGTGATAATATTAATTAGTAAGAATATTTTAAGGTTTTAAAAATATGAGAACTTACAATCGTCACTTATCTTCCAGAGGGCGATTTTTGTATGCATGTATATCTAGATCATTATCTGTAAAACATAATATAAAATACCTATAAGTTCTGATGACATTTTCTTCTCACCTATAGTGAACGTTAGCAATGAAAACTATTTCAGGGTGAAACACAATGAGGATCACCATGGCTGTTTGGGTTTATGTACGCATACATGTATTGTTCTCTTTTATATAAGTTGTAAGTAGTTATCCCTGCACTTGCATATCACGCCGCCAGAGTGCGCTCAGGGAAGGGGTGATGCCATCAAAGACGATGACGTCATATTTCCACAAACTGTCATCAGAGAGCGTGTTTTTAGGGACGCGTTTTTAGGCGACAATGACGTCATAATTCCATATATTGTCACCAGAGGACGCAGCTAGCTAAATGAAGGTTTAAATTATAGTTCGATACCAGACAGATGGTCATGATAGATGATTACGTATTACTATTAGTACCACGAAGGGGAACCAGTACAAATTTGATCGACATGATTATAATTAATAGAATCAGTTTAAATCACTAATTTATTAGTTTAATTAAATTTCCATTCATATTTAAATCATCCTAAAAAGGATGCTTACCACTAATTTATTAATTGATTACATTTTCTGACAATTTATATGTCCTGAAAAAGAACGCTTAAGACTAATTTATTAGTGTATCAAAGATTATTAACATAAAATCACGGTACAAACGTGCATCACAAAAGAAATTGTTTGCTTGTTTGCTGATAAGCACATAGCTACCCAATGGGCTATCTGTACTGTGCCAACCAGGAGTATTGATACCTGGTTTTTAGCGTTATAAGCCTTTCAATTTACTGCTGAGTCACGGGGAATCCCAAAAGAAAAAACAGTTTTTAAGTTGTATGAAAATAAAACATATAGAATGAACAATAAAAAATGAAATGTTGAAAAGAAAGCCTATATATATTTTATTTTTCGCGATGTACATTACTTCTCCTTAAGTATAAATTCTTATTCGTAATACATTATTTTCGAGTTTTGACCTTATAGAAGGACTAATTACACGACAATAAAGCGGAACAAGTCAAAAGTCAAAATATTGTTTATGTGTCTAAGAGGTGTACATTGTAGAGCACAAACCCTTAACGTAGTATAAATTGTTTGAGTTTAATAATAGTGCCTAAGTAAATTATAAATACTTAGTTAAATATATCAGACTTTTACTTGTGAAACTATCCTGAAGAATGTTCAACAAAATTATTCGATATTTTGTATACGAAACTAAAGCTAAGAGTATGATGCATTTCTGAAAAAAAAAAAAACCGCTATTAAAAGTGAGAGAAGTATCTTTATTTCACTTTTTTTTATTTTTTACAGTTATAAACACATATAAGGCTTAAGATATGCGATCAATAATAGAAAAGATGCAGGAATACTCTCAATGAATTAAATTGTTTAAACTTGAAAACCTTTGGAATTAAGTTAAGTAAAATACCAAATAAAATAATTGTTCTTTGAAGATTCTCTTATAAAATGTATTAGAATAAATAATTATCACAATATAATATACAAAATATTTTAGTGATAATAGTATGACTTTTACATCGATATATTTCTTACCTATTCAACTTTAGCTGAAAATAAATAAGCATTACTTTTTGCATTTCACGTTGTGTTCATTGCTTTTTGCTCTCTTATTATTCCACATAGCCTTTATTTACCAAAGAAACAAACGTCTGTATTGAAGTTTAACTGATCTATCCACATAATTTTGCACTTTGACGTTAACAAAAGGTAGTTAATTATCAACCTTACAGCTTTAGAACATATGATACGTGGGTTATATTCTCACAATCGTACAAGTTGTAAGTTGCTTATTTGCTACGTAACAAAAACGTGGCTAAAAGAACATCAGTTTCAGCTTTCAAATAAATAATTAACCACTAGGTGCAACTTAAGAAAGATGAGAAACAATCCACATTAAACGATTCATATTTTTAGTCGTATTTACACGAACCATGAAATAATAATATAAAACCAGACCCATTCACTGGTGCCAAACTGCCCTTTATTGTCCAATATTTCAGTTATAAGATCTATTTCAGATATTAAGTGAATATTTTGATATGTTTAAGTATAAATAAAATTAAAACGTTGAAAATTCTCGAAAATACAATCTCATACTCCACAGATTTATCGTATTTCTGAAATTAAACTGTATGTTTTGTCGTTATATGTTAATATTATTGACTGGCCTTCATTTTTTACCGGTTTTGATGTTCAATCAGTACATTAACTGACTTCATTAATTAACAGCTTGCTTGAAGATAGTACAAAAACGACAGTATCTAATATCTATATTACTGCTAATTGACATATTATTTCTTAAAAAGAAAAGGAGATATTGAACTCACACAAAAGAGAAACATAAAGAGTTTTATATGCTATGCATAGAAGACCTTTATCCTGTAAGGTCATTCATAAAGAGTTTTATATGCTATGCATGCGGACCTTTATCCTGTGAGGTCATTCATGTCTTTCAGGTAGCATCTCAGACTGAGCACTAAAGCACATATAGAGTTGAAGCGTGTCATAAATAAATTGTCTTTCTAGTTTTGGTTTGGTTTATTATGAATTTCGCGCAAAGCTACATGAGGGCTATCTGCGCTAGCCGTTTCTAATTTGGCAGTGAAAGACTAGAGAGAAGGCGGCTAGTCATCACCATCCACCGCCAATTCTTGGGGTACTCTTTTACCAACGAATAGTGAGATTGACCGCCACATTATAACGTCCCCACGGCTGAAAGGGCGAATATGTTTGATGGGATGGGGATTGAAACCAGCGACCAGCAGATTGCGAGTAGAGCGCCCCTAACCACCTGGCAATAGCCTTTCTACTTCTTATTCTGTTTTTGTGTGACATCAATACGTTTACGTCTGTAATTAAGCATTTGAGGCAAACAAAAACATTATAAGATTACATAATACCAATTTATTCTACATCTTCTATTATATTTTAGTATACTTTTCGGGCTTCTTGTTAAATCCTATTGTTATCTATAACGACCAGTGTTATCGTTAGGAGTGAAGGATGTAAACTTTGTTAAAGGTTAGTGAAGGATGTAAATTGAGTTAAAGACAAGTGATGTATTACATCTAAGAATACTAATCTCATCGCTGTTCTTACATTCAGTTTTATTACTTTTGACTGTAGTATAGATATACTTTCCACAGAATAAAGTAAGCATAAGAAGTGATGTCAAAGTCATTTCGTCAAGATACAAGAACAGAGCCCGACTTGGTTAACGGAAACGGAAGTCTGTGATGTCTCACACCTTAATTTTCAAGCGTTCGAGATGTTTTTGAATATAATCTAAGCGCTTCAAATTCTTGTAAAGTAGAAAAGGCACGAGTCCTTCAAAACAAGAAGGCCAGTATTTTATGAGTAACCCACGAAACCTACATACACGTTTCATTGAATACTTCATAGTCTGAGAAGGCAAGCCAAATCATGTATGAGTATTGGGTAATGTAATACCCAAAGTTGTTCAGACCCTTAACAGAGACATATTTTTATTTTGCTAAATTATACAATAATCATCTTAATCATAATTATCATCACATTAAAAACTGATGTATTACACTATTAAAATATTTCCCTAACTTAACTTGATGCCATATACATTCTATATGTATCGATGGTAAAGTCATATAGAAAAAAAATAATTCGGTACTGTACCGTAACATAAGATATTATAATATGTTACATGTAATTGGAAACGATTTAGGGCGTCAGATTATATATAAGTGTGAGTAAGAAACTTATTCAAGTTGAAATAATTTTGGATTTAGTTGTATTATCCATTTGTATTGCATAAAACTGTCATTAAAATATTTCATTCATATTTGGTTTTGTTGAGTTATTCTTAGCGATTAAAAGAATGCCTGAGTATATTCAGTTTTTCAGCTTTGAGGTAATCTAGTTCCCACTAGAATAAGCACTCGTTTTTTTTTGTCTTTTTCAAGCTATTATAGCACAAGGGTTAGCAGCTCGCGGCTCTCTGACTACATTTAGCTTCTATACAATGTACTTGTCCACATAAAAAACAACAAAACAAAGTTCACGTTGCACGCGCTTGAATAACTGTCTACAAACAAATATATCCCGTTTAACTTTGAGAAAGAATGGTTGATTGCATAACATGCTTTGAATTGCTTTATTTGATATGAAGTCCTATTAAGCACATCTTAAGCTGCTAAGGTAATATGTTTGAGTAGTCTTTAACACGAAGTCCCAGTACGTACATCCTGAGCTGCTAGGATAACATGTTTGAGTAGCAAGTTGAAGGCGGGAGTGACACATCTGTTCGTGAAAACGTTTATAGATATGAATTACACTAAAAACCGACAGAGAAGATGGCTTAGTGACAGAGGTCTTGATCCTTGTCTGAAAATGAAAGTGACAGAAAACGTGCCAAATGTTCAGAAACTTTCCAAAGAAATACACCCGCAAAAGTTGCATTAATAGATAGGCAACAGTAAACAATAAAACATGCCTTATCAGGCAGGTGGTAGCACCGCCTATGTAGGGATGGCTCGGATTCTTCATCGAAATGGTATTTCAATATCACCTCAATAGCTCATCAGAAGTTTACAACACTATACAGTGTTTCTTTTATATATATATACAATTTAGATTTAGATATAGCATAAATATTTTCTCATACGTTTTTGAACAAACAAAAGCGTCTCTCAAAAATAAGTAAAGTTAAATATGTGCAGAAAACAAAATACTATTCCACTAAAACCTTTTGTCAGACTCTAATATATATCGTGGCTTTCTAAATTTTTAGCTGCTTGCAAAACACTTCAGAAAAGCTTTCACTTTACGAAAGGTTGCAAATTCCTGGCATAACCTATAATGTAGAAAGAGTCATTCGTATTGGATAACAGTAAAACAAAATAATGAATTTATCTGTTTTGTATTTTTTAATTTATTTCTCGACTTTGTATACTATGTGTTTGAGTTTTTATAATGATTTCCCACTCGTAAGTTCACCATGCTGTTATGATGATCATTTCTTTTCTGGTTAGCAAATAATGAATTTTCAGATTTATTAATGTCGCTCAGTTATTTGATTTCAAATCTTTTATAGTTTAAACTTAAACTTAAATACAAAATCTGTATCTAAATGTATGTGAGACATGCTATTTATCTCTGGAAAAAACTTAACCAACTTTTTTTTAGCTTTGATGCACGTAAAGATCTCTGACCGAATTATTGTTGTAAATATGAACACAATTAAACAAGCTAATTTAATCAGAATAACTAAAGAGCACGTGTAAAGTATATTTTCCTTACAACGTCATATAGGGTAGCAGCACTAAAATAGTAGAGCTTTTACAATACTTATATACAAATACTCATTCTTAATAAAACTAAGATCATTATAAGTGTTTCGTACTGTCTTTTGTAATATGAAGTAGTCACAAAGTCATTGCACCTACTTACATTATAACAGTATTACCTAAAAGAAAGTAAAATTGTTCTCTACAGTAGTATAATCGTACAATTAAAGTTAAAAGCTCTCTCTCACACACACATCTGTAGAACGCTTCATTTATATGCAAATTAAACCGATTGTGTGATTATGGTTAGTCTGAAAGACAGTGAATAGGAGCGCGATTATCAAAGGGGCGTAGCAGTGGGGTTTGTCTAGCAGGACCATCGTTATCAAAGACATTGTTTTGACCGGCTATTCAAACACTTCTGTCATCAGAGTCTATCAGTGGTAGTAACTGAGAGGAAAAGTTATTCTATCACTAGGAAACATGTGAATGTTAATCACTAACTTAAAACCGATAGAAAATATTATTGAACAAGATTGTAAAGTCCAACTGACGACAGGTCTTTCAATCATCAAAATTCGGCTATTTACAACTATACCTTGTAAAACCCGTCTATTCCTGAGTCATACAGGAAATGGTAGCTACGGGTATTTAGATTGTAACAAATTGTTCAAACTTTCTTCTATACCGATGGTGGGATAAAATACGGAGAAAAGTAACAAAGACTCGTGATCCTGTTTGTAGTGTTTTGGTAATACAAGAAGTGGTGTAATAGTATTATAAACATTCTTATGGCAGGGACTATATCTTCTGCATCCTTTAGAAAGGCGAGCAACACCCAAAGTATACTTGAACGCTATTGCTGATAATGTATATCTTGCAACGTTACATTTTTCCTTCATGGACAAGGACATCTGCTGGAATTTGAATGTCATATTCGTATAATTATCAAATATTCCTACTTTCACTTGTACTTTAAATGCCTTTTTTATGAACAAGCAAGACTTTCGGTGGATTACAAATTACTTTGCATTAATTCATAATGTTCATGTTGGATGCCTTTCTCAAAAAATTACTAGGTCTTTCGATGACTTATAAGTTACCTCTTAATAAGTTATTCATTTGATGTTAAGTCTTTTCTTTGAAAAATATAAAGGTTTTCCAGGAATTATAATTATCCTGTAGCAAATTACTCATTATTTTAATTTTTTTTTAATAAATTAAAAGTTTTTGATGGAGTAATAACGTCATTGATTACTATAATTAAGCGACATCTAACGATATCAAGTTTCTTTATCAGTACCTGTAAAGACGTGCTCACTAGAATATGTTGAGACTTCCTTGATATCACAATCTAACTTGGAAGGATTATCACAATAGAGCGTAGTATCAATATTTCCCTTAAGTTCTTTTTTCAATACCTTTCTCTCAATACTTAGTTTTTTACGGATGTGTTTCTCACGCTCATAAATTCGAATTTTTTCTTTCTTTTCTAGTTCTGTCTGAAGCTGTGTTTTAAGAGTCATAAAGTCGCAGGCTAAGCTGCTAGGCCTAGGTTGCTGTTTATTGGTAGTTAATTTGCCACAAGTTGTTCTTTTGCTGTTCAACAACTCTTTTTCTTGGCGAAGTTTTTCTTGAAGACGTTCCTCACGAGAATTATCTGTGGCGCCCTCTGGTGTTGGAGGAGTGATGTTGATGGAAGGACCTTTCATTCTGTTGACTTCGTTTTCTGTGGAGAATAGTTGAATATCTTTCAGTTCTGCGTGTTTGTTTTCATCGTCGTTAGCCAATTGGTCAGGAGTGGGCGCACAACACCAACAACGAAACATATTTCATCACTTGCTTGACATATAAACAAATAGCTTCCACATACGAAATTAATTTACAGTTAACAGGCACAAAACATTTTACAATTTAAAAATAGATTAGTTCTATATTTACGCATCACAGTGATGCCGAGTTTTCAAGCCTCTGAAAAAATAATATGCCACCGTGAAGCCTAACTGCAATATAGTTACTTATATACAACACTTCATGGTTAATTTTCACACACACGCACTTGTAAGTGATTGTAAGCCAAGAGTTCGACTTCAGTAAATCTAACCAATGTGACTCATACTAACCCAGCTTTTACGTCAGAGCATATATTTCTAAATCTAACGAAATGGTGCGTTGAGCAGTGCAGAGTCAAGAATGGTGGAACTATGCGCGGTACTGAAACGAGGAGTACACGTGACAATATATCTTGAAACATGTGCCAAATCAAGATTTAGTTTAACACGTAAGGAAGAACTAAAAATATACACCAAAGCTCGTCATCTATTTACATACTAAGTACGGTGCAAATGACTATATTATGCACGGAAAAAATTAGGATATAATGATGTCACATATTTGCATTAGTTATATAGTCCTAAAAACTGAGCGCAAAGCTACAAAAAAAGGCTATTTGCGCTAGTCGTCCCTAATTTTAAAGTAACAGACTAGAGGAAAGGAAGCTAATCAACAACACCCACTGCCAACTCTTGGGCTACCCTAATCGAATAATGAGACTTGACCGTCATTCTTATAACGCACTCACAGCCCCAAAGTGCTAAGAACGGATTTATGGCAATGGTATGCGAACTATTGGGGATCGGATTCACGCTAACCACTAGAAAGGTATTAGTGACATAACGTTTTACACTCACCTATAAAGTGAACAATATAATATATTTTTACAAAGAACTTTGATTTGAGCTTATTCAATGGAACTGATATATTTTATAGCTTTCGGCGCCGTGAAACTTTGTGTAAAGATTTAATCACAGCGCTTACTGTACAGGTCTTCAATTAGATTTTGAATCATAATTTATTAATTAAAAATGGTCTTGATGGAAATTAAAGATCTGGCAAGAAACGTAAAAAACCTTTATGTATTAATTTAACTGTAATATTTTGTTATTTTATAGAATATACTGAAACAAGTTCAACAAGCAATGTAATTGGTAAAGGAACCATTGGAGATTTTTAAAACAAATATGATTCAAAATCATATGACATTATATACAATGATTGGCTGTCTTCAACGTACTTGGTGTGTAACAAAGACAATACTGTAATTCACATCTGTCAATTCAGGCAGATTGATATACAAAAGCATAAGTAACCACTATCAATTCTAGAATTGAAATACATTGTTAGATTGTTGGATTGATTTAAATAATATAACGTTTTTTACAGTTAAAACTTGTGTACTTGAGAATGATCGCACCAGTGATCGAAACGTCTACCTGTTCTAGAAACAAACCTTAGATGCTGTAAAAGCTGCAAGTGGTAATATAATATACTTATTCAGTAAATAAACTCAAAACGAAACTTTTTTTTTTGTACTTTTGTCTGACCAGGCTTATGGATAATAAGGATATATTGGTCATTGGTGGACAAAAGAATAGTGTATAATTATAACACCAAGATTCTAAAGTTACTGGACGATAAGCCCAATACCTTACAGGTAAATTCCCGTCGGTATTGTTCATTAAAAAAGTTGAACTGCTCCAAAGTATCAAAAAACCACAGTTCCCTTTGTATCTTCATCTAAATCACAGTTCCCTTTGTATCTTCATCTAAATCACAGTTCCCAGATGAAGATACAAAGGGAACTGTGGTTTAAATGAAGATACAAAGGGAACTGTGATTTAGATGAAGATACAAAGGGAACTGTGTTCTAGATGAAGATACAAGCATTTTACTACGGTTTTAAGTTGTCATATTTTGAACAACTAACTAACCTACAAATTGCTGACAATAAAGATTTTTGATCTTTGTTGGTGTGAATGTTTACACTAATTCACAGCATTGGAATAAAAATCACTGGTACAATATAATTTTGACTAACTTTTTTGTTTCTATTTGTGGAGTTCTTGAAATTAAAAGTATACATTTTTTGTTTATTCAATAATACTACAAACGATCAACTATTAATTAACGTCAGTGATGTTTAATAAACACATTTTGGTAAAAAGTTTTGTATTTGCAAATAAATTTTCCCCATTAGGTAAGCGATAAGTCTTAAACCTACAAAGCTGAAATTCGGGGTTCGATTCCACGCGGTGGACAGAGCGAAGACAGCTCATTGTATAGCATTGTGCTAAAACAATATTAACAATAGCAAACAAGTATTTGAACAACTGGCTCCTTGTTACGGAATCATTTTCATGAGAGACACAGTTATTTCCTGAAAAAGTACTGTTTACTTTCCATACCTATCATAATTATGAGATAAATACGTGAATATGCGAGTTTCTCATAACCTAAATACACGTGTGTGTCTTGTATCGTTAAATCAAATATCATCTAGAATTTAGTTACATATAGACAACTGTCATTTCTGAATAAACTCATAATCAGATAAAGTGAAGGTATCTTAGCTACAGAACTTTGCCAAAAAAACAGCACATGAACAAAGCTGGAGGTCTGGCATGTGCTAGTAATTAGGCTGCCCGGGATTTGAATAGGAGAATTCTTGCTTCACACCACATGTCAAAAAAAGAAAAAAAAAGAAGACTCAGTTTATAGCTGCATAAGAGTGACGCTTAAATCATACTGTTTAGCTAGATAGGAGTAGTTAAAGAGTTGGCGGTGAGTGATGCTAACCAGCTGCCTTTCCTTTAGTCTATCAGTTCGAAATTAGAAACGACTTTGTGCATATAGTTTTTGTGTAGTTTTGCGCAAAATTCTGAAACATGCAAAAATTATCAAGGTTTGGATATTATTAATTAACGGTACTATGAATATGAAAAACGTCTAAAACAAAGGACAAGAATCTACGGAACTGAAATTTTGACCACTCTTCGAATTTCTTTATTTACGTATATTGTCTTCAATTTATCCTGTAAATGTTGAAAACCACAGAAATGACTATAACATTTCTTCTCACCCACAAAAACTCGTGTTTTATATACTGTAAACATTAAGTGATGTTTTTACCTAAAATTCATTGTTAGACTCATGAGAAGAGTCATCGATGACTTGTGCTTCATGTCATACAATAGTGAGCTGAATGCATTTTGAGGACTAACATAGTTAGCATGACCGTTTCTTCTTGTTTCAGTCTTAAGCACTTATAACATATTAGCAGATGTCCATTGAAACAATTCAACGGTAAATTTTCTAGAAATAGTAAAGAATAAATATAAAATGTGTAATCAACCCAAACCCTTGGATCAGAGTGTATATGGAATATAATTGTAAAGTGGGCCGTTTTGAACCGTATTTTGTTATTCCACGTGTTATGTCAATAATGCAAATTGCATTGTATTTGTTTCTAAGCATAGAATACTGACTGCAATGCATTGTTGGCAAAAACACTTGAGTTTCCACACAGTGGAAACATCCAGCACAATAAGGTACTCAGGTTCGTTAAACAACCGCTATGATTTGTCCGCTAAATGCCACCGTTCCTTATCATTTTAATGAGCGTAAGAAAAGTACGCTACCAAAATGTGCACTTATTGACTGTTGTCATTGCAATAAGAAGTGTTAAATGAGATAAATTTAATTCAATTCAAATCAAGTTATTCGACATGGTATAATACAATCATGCATGTATATAATACTGTCATGAAAAAAATCAAAATAAATCAAACAACAACAAATATATACTCAAACACGTTTCTCTCTTTATGCATTTTTTACAGTTCTTGCTCCTATCTCCAAAATATTTCCCATTTGTTTTCTTTCGTGAAATTCCCTCACAAAAAAGAAACATTTTTGTTCTTAATAAATATTTCTCAGACTGACTGCTCACCACATACAAAGATTGACGGATTGATGTTGATATCAATATAAAACTTTAGGAATTGCAAAAAAAAAAAAAGACAAATTTACCCTAGGAAAAAAAAAACATTTTGATGTATAATTTATTTCTACAATTAACAGTTCAGGAGATACAGAGCGTGACAGAGAGACAGATAGTCGGCTATTATATATATACAATCTGGTTTACTCAAGGACAGGAATCTGATATTACTTCTGTCAGTCTCACAAACATCTGGGAGGGATCATCAAACGCATGGAGTTTGGAATAATAGTACAAGTGGCGCCATCTTTGCTCGAAACTTTTCTCTTTTTGAAGGTGGGTTATCAATTCATCATTATGTCCTGATATGCGCCTTCTCTCTTTACGTTCACACTTTGTACAGCACAAAATACACCTGCATTCCTTTGGCATGTCTGAATGATGTCTTGCTGATATTACATCAGCGTAATCATGCGATCGGCTCTACTGAGTTAGTTGCAGTTTCATTGACTGTTAGGTATTGTATACATAAGATTAATTTAAGTTTCTTTTTTAGTGATTGTATACTTGCATCACAAAAAAGTTTAAACATGTCCAAGAATATGATAAAAGACGGATCGTGACACTTCAAGCATAAAAAAATGGTTTTTATAACAAAACAGTTAGCTCCATCTTTAAACTAGTTTAACTTTAAAAGAGTAGACAATATACTGAAGTTTTAAGTTGGGTAAATAGCAGGCTCACGTTAATGATAGATCAATAGTAGGAGGAATCTCGTTAAATTATTGAAATTGCACAAATGGAACGACATAGAATTCGATTACGCTCAAAAAGCAAGTATATAACAATATAAAAGCTCATGTCTCCAAAAATACTCTGTGGTAATTTAATTGCAGGTGAAAAATATCCATGCTAAAAATTTGTTCTTTGGTTATCACTTGTAAGTAAAATATACATCTTATAGACTCCTCCCCTTTTTTTAAATACAAAAACATCTAGATTCAGTTTGGGTTCCTTTCCTAGAGAATGCTATTCATATTTATGTTATTTCTTAAATTAGTAACTATCAGGTGTTGAAATA